TCCCACAGGAAATCCCCAAAAATGCATGAAACTCAAGGTCAAACTTGGTCTCATGAAATTCCTGATGGATTAGACCTTTCTCTACTTCCCCTAGATTTGAAATGTCTTCAACTTGAGAATCTAGGCCAACTCTAAATATTGGATAATTCGGGTTTTGTTTTATAAAAATGTTGTTGCCAACTCTGCCAATCAATAAGAAACTGCCAGTTTAATGAGCTGATGTGTGGCGCTCAGTTGATCTTGGGACTCATTTGATCCCTTCAGCAAAATATCTACCACAGTGCACAAAACACTACGCCGTTATTTTGTCGATCGATTGACACCCCAACCGAGTTTTATTTTTCCGGCAGCGCGTCACAGATTTCAAGCTTCTCATTAGTAATTAAAGCAGTAATTACATGTTGAGGTAATGTCTGGATATTAGGTCAGATTTTTCAACATTTCAAACGTCCCCAAGTCAAATTGTCCGCATGTTGGGGTGTCCATATTTCAGGGTCTCACTGTATTACAATGATTTTATGGAGCAAAAATATCTGCATTGATTTTGATTTGAAGTGCGCTTGAATTTAGATTTTTTTTTTACCCAACACAGCTTTCAAAATTACAGCAGTAATTACAGGGTTTGGAAAATGTCTTTCCTCGCTTCTGATGAAGTGTTTTCTTCAAATTGACAGATTCCGATTCCCTTTCATACAATATGTGAAGGATCGCTTTCCTCACTTCACACGGATGATGTCAGGCAATGCGTGACTATTGTACATAGTTCCTTGACATGGGACTTCTCGAATCGCTCTCCGTAAAATTGAGTTTTGCAACAATCCTCATTCGGTCTTCTCAATATTCCTTCAACCGAAATAACGAGGAGAAACTACTGTACTGAGCCTTGAACATGAGTGCAGATGACTGAATAGGGGTATGATTATTTACGCCACAGACTCGAAGTGCTGGAAATCAACAAGGGGGATTCCTGTGGTCCGCGCAACGGAGCAAACTGGCGAAAGTGGAGCCAGCTGAAAGGGACCATTTTGGGCAATGCCATGTAATGAATGAATAGTATCTATTACCAACAGAACCATTTTCCCTTCTTCTTTTCCTCGCCCAAAGAAGAAAAATAAATAATGCTTTAAAAAAATAACATGCAATAGGGCTCCAAGATGATGACTTAATTGGTACTTGGACCTTGTCCCTGTATTTAGGAGTATCTGTGTGTCAGATCACATTTCCCCATAGACTTCAAAGAGAATGTATTTCATTGGTTACCCTGTTATCAAAAATCAGGAATAGAGTCCCCCAAAATTGAATTTAACTGTTTCCTCCACTTCATGATGCAAAAAAAATAACTTTATCGGGAGGAAAACCACGCGGAATCTGATTTTTTGGCATACGAAATACAGAAAAATCTATTAGAACAAAGCTGGGCAAGAAACAGCTTTTTTATAGCGGTCAATTCATCATAAAGCTGTCTGAATAATATTATTGTTATTGGGCAGGGACCTGAATCATTACTGTTGTAGCCAAAAAATTGTAATAATGATATTTTTGCAAGCAGATTCTACTGCAGCTCTAGAAGCAAAGAACTAGAGCATGTCTAGCTAAAATCCGCAAACATTGCGAAAAAAGAATGCAAAAAATAAGCATAAAATTAGNGTGTTTTCATAAAAAAAATCTCGTTGCGTGATATGCGGTCATTTTTCTTTCTGAAGAGCGATTATTTCAAGAATTATTATATTTTTCGTGATTAATAAATTAATTCAAGAACGAAGCAAAAGTATATTATCTCGGATAATTGTACTCGTAGTGTACCAAAGAAAAATAATTTTGAAAGTACGAAAGCATGAGGTTCAGTTTGGCTATTTAAAGCTTGGTCATTCAGACTTGATCGTCTGGATTCAGTCGTATGCTAATTGCTCTTCGAAATAATACGTACAATAACCGAGCGAAAGTATTTTGAACTTTAAAAAAACCTGTACTGTATTGTGCTACTGAGTAATCAAAGCATAGTTATCAAGAAACCGAAGATATTTTAAAGACGTTTGTTCCCGCCTTAGACTAAAAACCAGTAAGGAGAAATAATCATGATGCATACTGTTGGAAATAAAATTCCTACATGAAAAAGTTGGATGGACTTGGTTAAAAATGAAAGGATTTAGTCAGTTGGGCTACAGCTGGGTCAAGGCCCTAGTTTAATGTTATATTTACCAGTCACTAATATTTGCGCAGAAATTTTCAAGCAACAAAAAACATCAAATCAAAAAATCAGGATCACAGAATCAGGCAAAAACAACCCCTTGACACATGCAAGGTCTGCTCAGGTCAAAATTTGGAGATTGAATGTGTTCTCTTGGTGGTCAGAACTGACCAATATAGTTCAGAAAAGAGAAAGCAAAAAGATAATTTTGTACTTGTGGATTTTTTCAGATTTCAAAGCAAGAGTCCTAGAAGGACAGAGGCAGGAATATCTGTGGTAACTCAAGGTCAACTCTGGTCCCACAAGATTCCTGAGGAGATTAGCATTCTTAGCTAATTCCTGAAACTCATATATCCAAACAGCCCCTAAATTTATTTTCAACACATACCACATAAAAAAAACCACAATAAATACTTCCTGCCTTGTTAAGACGACATTCTGGTGCTAAAAATGATTGTAAAAAACACCAGAGAACATTTTGCACTTTTCTCACTGTCAAATTTTTTGTTCAGCGCAGAAAAGAGGAGACCTTTGTAAATCTGCAAAAAACAGAGCTTTCAAAAGTAAAGAGGGGAATTGAAGGATTTCAAAGAATTTCCGTTGTAATTTTTTTGCATCAATCAGCAATAATTTACACCTAGAATTTCTTTGGTTGCATTACATACATCTGCTGGCATACCTCTTTCATCCCGGAAATACTGCGTGAAAATATTTTGCAATCAATGCAGAATTTGCAGTTTCGTCTGGCGTCGGTGTTTTTGCTTCTTCCTGGATCATGATTGTGCGGATATTTTTCTTCCTAGGGATACTTCAACGAATTTTGTTTGGAATTTTCATAAGAATTGCGTGAACCCAGGAAGTTGTTTTCCGCTTGCTAGACAAGATCACTCAGCGGAAAAAAGGCATCATCAGCTTTTTTTTTTTTCGAATGCCCAATCAGCTGTTCAGCCAAAAAATAATAATAATTTCACGCTTTCGGGCGTTGTTTTTTTTCTCTATACCTCTCTTTCAATTCGGATTATTGCGAGGATTCTTTTGTTTTTTGGACTGCAACGACATCATGATGATACCACATTATAAAAAAAAAAGCTTTCCGAAACATTTTTGATTCTTACTAGAGCAAAACAAAAAAAAGGCGAAGTGCTGAACGATTTGCTGCCCGACTTCCCACTTTTTTTGTGTGCGTTTTTGAGGTTTTGCAAACGACAGCGTTTTCATGATTCTCCGGATGATTGAACCCCTTATCTTCTGGGCGTCCTTTCGACCGAGAAATGTGTAATGATTTGTAACGATCCAAAGATGCTTTGCTTCGAAGAACTTTCGCTTTTCTCGCCAAGCATCAACCAGAGCTTATTGAAGAAAAAACGCGCAGGTAAATGTTTGCCTCAAGCACATGGAATTTGAGCTTGAAAGACCAGGTAAAAGGCGGTCCCTCATTTCCTCCGTAATTTTTATTTTCTCAAAGTATTTTCAGCATCTACGAGGGTTAGTTCATAAGTTTTGAGAATTTTTGGATTAGATCCAACACAGTTTTAAAAATTCCAAAAAACATTTTTTTTTAACTCCCTAGCCTCACAATTTGGCAACACTTCCGTGCTTTTCAACATACTCTCTGGCAATTTCAATGCATTTTTTTTTATCCAAAAAATATAGTGATTGAAGCAGTGCCGAAAATTGAATTCCGTTAGTTGACTAAGCTGCTTTTTGACGGCAGAAACAAGGTTTTCCTTAACCTCAGAATCAGTCCCTCACAGGTTTTTTTTTCACTTCAAGGAACAGCCAAAAGTTACAGGGTGCCTAATCAACCAAAAGAACTCGATTTTTTGCACTGTTTTGGTCGTTGGATTTTATTGCTTAAAGAAAATGCATTGAAGTCGGCGGAGAGTATGTTTAAACAGCACTGAAGTGTTGCCAAACGAGTGAAAACGTTTGTTCTGGAATTGTTGAAACTCTGTAGAATCTATTTCCAAAAATTTCACAGCTTATGAACCAACCCTTGTATTTCGGAAGCCATATGGTTACTGAGGAAGGTGTTCCAATTTTTTTTTTTCGAAAGCCCAAATATTGTATAGGGTATTCACGACGGATGTAAAGCATTTACTTCCATTTGCTTCAGGCTGCTGGAATCACGAATGAGAAGATTGGACTTTGCCATTGCAACACAGCCGGAAAAAAAAAAAACTCGGTTGGGCTTGAGTGGGTCGACGCAATGACGGTGAAGCGTTTCGTGCAATATGTCGTAGACGTTTTTGTTGAGGGGTCAAATGAGCGCCGAGTTCAAACGAGCGCCACACATCAGCTCAATGAACTGCGTGTTTCTTCATGAACTGCATTAACTTCACTGATACTTGAATTATACATTTTTTAATCAGATGAAGAAGGAAGCTAATAAATCGGCTATGAAAAAAAAAACGGGACAAAAATGTATTCCGCAGAGTATTTCTGCATTTTCAAATCGTTTCCTTATACAACGCAAAAATTCCCAATATCACGAAATACACACGAAGATCCGCATGCAGATGATCATCGATATTTTAAATCGGCACTTTCTTTCTTTAATCTGGACGGACTTTTGGCGTCAAATTTTTGCAAGATTGATCCTCGCGGAATGAAATATTTGCCTGTCTCTTGATTCTGATGTATAGTTGACCGACGTAATTAACAGTGATTAATCTTCTGCAACTACTAAACGCCGATCCATTTGTATAGTACGGATTTCTCATTTTCATTTTTTTATTTTTTGCCAGTACGTGTGCAGCGAAAAATCACATGATCGACCCGTCGCGTGAGGGGAAAGTAGGAACCCCAAAATTTAGTTCCCATTCAGTCGTTTTTCATCCTAAAAATAACAAAAAAATGCCTCAGATTTCGGTCCGCTTTCTCTCAAACACATCCTTGCTCAATCCGATGACATCACACAAAAAAATACGATTTTCAATTAGATCGCCTACATTAGGACTGGGTTACAAGAGTGAATAACAATATAGCAAAAACAAACAAAAAACACGAGAAATTCCGTCGAAATACGTTTCCAGGGATTTTGTAAAAATAAAAAATGGATTCTCTGAACCCGATTATTGCAGCCTTCAGGTTATTATTGAAATTTTTACGTTCGCAATTTTGTCTACAATTTGAAACGTGATACATGCGTTGTGAACCACAACTACGTACAGTACTACAATAAAGGTTTTGAAGATAATAATTGACGAGTTTTGATAGACTTGTGCTTCATTTATCAAAGTTTTATAGGATTTGATAGAAGACGAAAATCAGAATAATGTAAAGAGAAGGGAAGATTTCATAGAACACCATATCCCAGTAAAAACGTCGCAATGCTTTCATATTTCACGGAATTTTAAAAGGCCTGAATGCTGCCGAATATTCACATTTTTTTTTCATGCTTTCAGCGACAATTTCCCACATTCGTCAAGTTTCGTTCTATATTTGGAAATTTTCGGGTCAGCGGTCATGAGTATGAATATTGCCCTGAAAATGCCAGTTCGAGAGCGATGAGTTGTTCACGTTACGGTTGAAATATAAAAATTCTAAGTAAATTGGGAAAGTTTTAAAGGACTCTGTCAACAACAACAAAAAACTTTTGAACAATGAAAACTTCCTTGCAAAGTAAATTCTAAAATTTTTAAACACGTCTTGAAAGCTACTTATCTGACTTTTGAAAATCCGACCTGGATCTCCACAGAAGAAAAATTAATTGAAAAAGGATCAACAAATTTGTTATCCGCAATGAAAAACCCGTGTGCAATAATCTATAAGCTTATTTCATTCAAATGTGTTGCAAATTTTTCGATAACCTCACATTTAGAAAAATCTTCTAAAAAGAAACGCGAGTGAGTTTGATCAAACTGATTGCCGAAAAGTGCACCAACACTTCTGGGAACTCTTCTCCTTTTGAAATGCATGATTGGAAAAAAGAATTGCACCGCCTGAGAAAAATACTTGTGGTTCATCTCGACAGACAGTAGAATTGCATAACTGGAAGTCATTCAAAAAAATGAGAGATAAGTGGGGAAACCCGAAGCTGTCCGTGATTCCAGACCACATGAAAGCTGCTCGAATCTCGGGTGTCATTCATTTGACGGGTTCTTCCTGGTTTTTCCCAACATTCATCCCGATGAAATGGGAAGTTGTTTCTATAGTTTTTGCCATTTTATTAATGAATCATGAGCTGAGAAAGAGCTGCAAACTTTCCAGAGACCAGTAAAGAAATGAACGAATTCACACGAAAAAAAAAAGATGAAAAAATGTAACTTACAATCGACCCATTTCTCGAATAATGTACTGTACTGTGCGGTAATATTTGGAGAACCAGGAAAGCAATTTCTTTCCAAAAAATATTCATAAATATTGAAGAATGATAATGTTCATTGACCATTTGATCAATTGAATTCTAGCTTGGACCTCAATTTTCTTGCTTTTTGTCGATTTTCCCCTAATTCAGTTGTCAGAAGAAATTCCAAAAACAAATTTCAGCGTATGTGGACATTTTCAAACAATTGTTTTTTCTCTTTCTGACAAAATTAGAAAGACTTTCAGAGAACCCGACCCGAATGCACCAGTGTCAAGACTAACAGATTACATGCAAATTTTGCTCTCAATAAAAAAAAACGCATCGAGCTATTTTTCAAACCAGTATGAAAATAAAAAGATAAAGATAAAATTTAGATAGGTAATGACGAAGTATGAATGAACTGCATTGAAATTCGATCAGCAATACTGAGATACGTAAACAAGGCAAATGTCCGGATTCAGCAGAGGGAAATCATACTTTGGCTTTCATTCCCATTCTGAATTCATTCACAGAACAAATTTTCAACTGGGAATTTTCCCTTTTCCTACTCTTCACAGCAAATCAGCCCAAAAATTATGAAGCAACAGATTTTTCTGGGTCTGAGTTGAGCACAAATCAGTCCATTTTGTTGAAATTGGGGTATGTCATTAAATTCAAATAACCCGTGTACCCGCAAGTGATGTAAGTAGATCTCATCTCCCCAAGGTTTTTAAACGGTAAAACCATCACCTGAGAATTTACCTGAAAATGACCAAATTATCTCAATTATTCTATTGTTCCGAGGTAACACGCTTTAGAAATGCCAGTACTATACTTCATTCGAGTATATATTCATTTGTCGCCTGGGAAACCCGGTTGTCTGTCAAGCTTTCTCCGTGCCAGACTGAGTGTCGGGGTTTCGAAATAAAGGATTACTGTGGGTTTTCCTGAGGCATTAATTTTTGTTGGACAGGTGGTGCAGTCCATCACAACTGAGACCATAAACCCGCAACAGAAAATTCATAATGAACACCTTTGATTTATATTACTGTAGCAGGTACTGTACTATACTGCTGGAGTTCACAAGCAAACGTGATCCATTTCTCTGGAAGTCTGCTTTTTTTTAAACCAGAAAGTTTGTTGACTAAGTAACATGAATTAATATGGTATGGCTGACGTAAATATCTTCCGAGAGCCCAAAAAGACGCCTAACTTTGAAATTTAACGCTACACATAAATCGGAATGATCGGTGCCTTAAAGAGTTGTTGATGTTCACAATAAGACGTATATTATTATGCCTTAAAAATACAGTGTTGTAATTCCATTCGATAAATTCCCGATAAATCACAAATGTCGTATGTATTTCTGGATTAATCTTTGCCTATCCCGATCAAACTTTCGCAATTAATCAAACGCAATGAGCTGAACATCTGTACATGAATAGCATTAGGAAATGGCTTCACTTGATCCTCATGATTTGAATGATACTCGTAGGCTCGAATTTAATTGCTAATGCACATGCAACTGTTCTGAATCCTCGGAAAAGGTCCTTCTGAACGAGTATCCAGCATGAAAAGCACTTCATCTGTTCCACATTAATAGGAGACAGAGATAAACGCACTTTCGGAATGGATTATTGTATACGAAAGAGCGGAAGTTGGTGAAAAACAAAAAACAAAATGGGTTCGGATGAGAAACATGAAACAGACAGCCGGAAATTCTACTCATTTCAAAGCTTGACGTCAGGATGAACCCGTCTCATTTTAGTCGTGACTGGAACTCACGATTCCATCCTGGTGTTTTGAAAACCAAAAATTTACAGTACAGTATTTCGCCGAGCAAATTTCGCCAATACTGTAATTAAAAATGTGCAAGGTTTTAAAGTAGAATGATCGCTCTAAAATCGACCAGGCTTCAATTTCTTTTTTTTTGCGTCCAGGTTCGCACAGATGATTTTTTTCAGTTTTTCGGAGCGATCATTTCGCTTTTTTTTTAATCCTTTATGCACTCGAATACTGGATATTTTGATTCTTTTTTCCTTTATTAGGCTTTCATACGTGTAGCCTAAAACCATACAAACGTTATAACATTTTTTCGGCGCTTTAATGAGCTAGACTGGATTGCGTGGCAATTCTCCCAGAATGCAGAACTTTGTCTCTGCTGCAGAATTATCTGATTACCTTGTGAATCAAAGACTAGAAATTGAACCTACTTTCGAAATACAGGTATAGAAATTTCGGGGGTAAAAGAGGAATGAATCAACTATGAAAAACTGAAATAAGTTTGCAAATTATTAATAATTTAAATTCCTTCCGAATAAAAAGATTTCTTTTGCGTTCCCGATTGAAGTGCTTCCTTTCAAGGTACTGAATTGATATTTGTTACATACGTAATTTCTTCCTCAGATTTAAAATTCGAGCCACACGCAAGCATCAAAAGGGTATTGACTGCAATTTTTCTCAAAATTCGTTCCTCGCGAGCAACACAATTCGAAAATAAGGAAGACAATTTTTCAATGTAACTTCTAAAAATAATTGAAATTATTCACGCATTCGTATTGAAATTTCCCCAGAAAAAGATTGAAAACTCAAAAATCGAAATCGTATTTTATGACTCCATCACACGTCAACAACAGCGTTCTTGAAGCGGAAAAAAGTCTTGGCAAGAGATCGAATTGCATCACAGTGGATGAGAGGGGGGGGGGGGAATAAATAGATAGAAANGTTAGTATCGATTAATTGCTTTCGAAAACTTCAAAATTGATAGCGTCGAAATGAATTATTGATGGATGGCAATCGTCAACATAGGAAAACTCACAAGCGCGCGTATAGAACCCGTAATCTAGCGACATCTGACATTGAAGTCAATAAACAAGCAACGAAAACTTGCTCGCGATTCTCTAGGTGAAGCCTGATCTGCCTGCTAGGATGTGAATGAGGTTGGTCGGGCCTGACGACGTTATTCCAACCACCCCATCTCCACTCGCAGGTCCTAATCCTCCAATGAATGTAAGACGATTCGATGATTCGCACATCTTTTTTAAATCAACTAGTTCGTCTTATGAACTAGATAATCATGAAGGACAGAGGATCTTTTATCTGGGGTCATTACTGCTGAATTGATTTTGACTAGGGTGGACCGTATAACGCAGTACAATGCTTGATCACACCAATTGAAATGGCTCCAGTAATAACAAAAACATTAAAAAGCCATCCTCTCCTCGGTAGTATACTTCTGACCTTTCGTTGTCCAATTGCAATCCGAAGGTCTTGATAAAATCTGATTGCGATAAGTATCAATGTGACAAATAGACGTTCAGGCTTCCAAATTTTCTAGTATAATTCGTCGAAACTCGCAAGTCGGTGAGTTAAAAAGAGTGACGTCTTCCGATGCTCATTTCGAATTTGCTATCAAACCAGCTTTTAAATTTGGGTACACCAAGAACTTCCACTAAAGAATTAGGCATTTCTGATTTTCTGAAAGAAAAAAAACACTTAGAAGCTTTCAAGGTTACCTAGCCAGTTTAGGAACACGCTGTATGGGCAGCTAGGGAAGATCGATGCACATCTTCAAGTATTGTACTGTACAAGTGGTACCTCGCAATTCAACCTCCGGCAATTTGACCGTCCCGAAATTCGACGGTCGAGTTTGCAGGGAGGTTGACTCGCAATTCCACCCTTGCCCCACAATTGAACCTGCTTCGGGCATTTTTTCACGTTTTGGCATTTATTTTTTTATATTTATTTCACGAATAGTCTTGCAATTTATCTCTAGTTTGGCAATGGATTAGGGTCAAATTGCGAGGTACTACCTGTACTAGTACTTCCAGAGAGCCAATAGCTGAACCACATTCCATCACACAAAAATTCCGTCCACGTGCGATTTAAATAAAAAAAAATAGAAGAAACGTCTCTGCCCAAAGGTAGAGTTCAATTTTTGGACACACAAATCGCTCATATACAGTATCAAAAATGCTTGCGACTTGCGTGAGACTGCACGAAGTTTCCCAGAGCCAGAGACAAGTTTCCGTCGTCATCTCACCCTCAGTGAGGTCAGTTGGGATTAGTCAGATGTTCTGACTGATCAGGGACAGAGCAAGAAAAAACGATGAAAATTATCAATTCTTCCTCCAGATCTAGATGAAGCACGGAGAGTGGAGTCGCCTGTATTCTGTTTATCATATTCTCATCAAATGGTAAGGACAGATACTCAGGAGAGTCAAGGGCGTAATTCACTAGGAACCCCGTCAGCTGCCTCTTCTGCGAACGAATTGTGATTTTTTTACCGAACTGACTCGACGTTCTTTCCGCCGGAAGTCTGACGTTTTCTGACTCAGATCTCACGTCAAGCACAGCTGATCTCTATAATATACATTCGTAAGCCTTAGACGTAGGTTCTACGCATTGAAAACGCAGATGTGAATTCTCAAGCGTTTCAAAGAGTGCACTTCAAAATAGATTCAAGACAGTTTCAGCCAAATTTATATAAGTTTCAGAAACAGAAACTTAGACTTTTTTTTTGTCAAGAAGAATGAAAAGGAAACAAACGCACGGTGTTGAGGTTTTTTGTAATTTTTTCTCATTTTTTTCCCGTCCGGCTTTATTACCCAAGAAGGTTGCCAATCAGTTTTTCTTCACATTAAACTGTTCACATCGGCAAATTCTAGAATGTTCTTAGTCTTCCCTTCTCGTCGAAAGGTGCAGGCATCGAAAAAAAAACCAATCATCGCTTCCCAGCACGAAACGAAACCAATCCGTCTCTTCTGCCTCCCCCTTACACACAATCGTCCTCCACGACAGCGTACAAGGCTCACATATCAAAAAACGGAGGAACCCAGTAAAACACGAGAACAAAAAAAAA